AAAATAAATTTAAATTTTACTATTTGTTATTGAGTCTTTTGTTTATCTTTTTTTTAGTAATCTTTATAGAAAAAAGTAGAACAGAGCAAGATTGTGATTTACGTTTGAGAAGAGTGATTTGTAGAGAAAAAGAGAGGAGAGAGGGATTTTTTAAAAAAAGCTAATGTATTTTTAGAAAAGGACAAATTTTTTTTTTTATTTAGCCTAATTTCTACTTTTAAAAGGAAAGATGGTTACATTTTAGATATTTCTTCCTTATTCCATAGATGGAATTTCGAATAAGCTGCATATGTGTTGTCTATTTGTCTTAGTTAGGTCTAATTATCAAACTCTACCCTTCAAGAAAATAAATGTAATTCGATTAATGAATAGCATCAATTGCATATTTCTTTTCAACAAGTAATCTAGGGTTGCTCATGAGGTCTCATCTATGTTTTTTTTTTTTTTAATACCTATTAAGGGTGAGTAAAAATGGATCGAAATGATGACTCGATCATATTGAATGAAATTTTGATAAAATGGTTCAAATCAATTGATCTATTCGGTCTATTAGTTCAAAAATTTCGATTCTATTAGTTTATTCAATTAGTTCTTGATTTTAAAATTTTTAGATTAGATCGATTAAACAATCAAACTTAATATTATATATATGTTAATTTTAAGGATGTTGATATTGTTAATGTTAAATGTTATAATTTATAAATGTTTAATTAGATTTTTTATTTATGTGGTTTGTATTAATTTATTTATGTTCAAATTATTTGTATATTTCCTAATTATAGATTAAATTTATAAATTTTAATGTTATAATTTGTAAAAGATGAAAGTGATAAAATTTTAATTCTTTTGATAGATAATCAAACTAATTCAATTTTTTATCAATTTGATCATTTTTTTAAATTTAATTGATTTGGTCAATTTTTCAAAAAAATTAGCCCATTCATCCCTCGATTATGATATATTGAACCAATTAATTACTCAGCCCTAATACTTATAATTTTTTCCCTTATGCTCTTTTCTTTGGTAGCATCGACTTTTTTTTTTTCTCTCTTTATGACCATTCCTCATTAAACAAATTAAAAAGTAACCACATGACATGAATGGGTTTGAAAAATGATTATAAATTTAATCTCTTTATACTATGATCAATGTCATGTAATTAAAATACATTCTAAACATCTCACCTTTAGCATTATTGAAAGGAAGAACAAAGTTTGGGGTGGAATACAAACGAAACAAGTGGATGCGGTGGTCAGTCCATTTGAGTTCAAATTCATGGGAAAAATTCATGGACCAATCAAAACGCGTCTTATCGTTTGAAAAAGAACAGCCACGTCAAACGTTTGCCTGAGTCAGCAAAAGACATGTCCACCACATAAAAATGGGACATGGCCACTGGAAAACACGTGTCAAAAGGGTCTCGCATTGGATAAGGGAAGAGGAGAGTAGGGCCAAATATATGCAGCTCCAAAATCAGTTGGCTGATTATGAGTTGTCAAGTTGCAGGATAAGAGAAAATATTAGTTAATGCAATAATATTAGGATGAAAGTACTCCATATCTTTGGATAATACAATTTGCTTATCATTTTGATTATCTTTAATCGCCCAAGGATTTTGCACCACTCGTTTTAATTAATTAGAATCTTGTGCTTAGAGGTTAAGTAGAATACCATAAAAGTGCACAGCGACCAAATAAGCTAGCACCCATCGTTAAAAACAAGCATGTCTTTCTCATCCCACTTTCAAGTTGGGTCATGTTTAAAGTTTAAAAATCATATTTAAAATCGTTCCAATCGAATTAAACTCATAATATAAACGAATAATTCGACTTATTAATCTAGTTTTTTTTTTCTTAAAAGAAAAAAAGAAGGACCAAGCCTAGCCAGACAAGAGTTCCCTACTGCATGCTACCAGCTTTTTATCTTTACTCCTGACGTTATCAGACACATTATAAAAGATTAAAGTTTGATAATTACTAGTATGAATTTAGCTTTTATTATATTATCCTTTGTAAGCAACTTGGTGTGACATTAAAAGCTGTGATGTTTGTTTAATTGTCTGGTACATTCTCGCTTGGTGACTTACGAAAGAGAAGGCTTTGGGCCCATAAGATTTGATCCCAAAATTTCAGACCATCCTTCGCTTGGTTCTAGTATTCAATGGTGGTTGGTGGAGATAATTAATTAGCAAGTTGCTTCAGAAGTACATACGCCCTATCAATTGAATAATTATTATCATAATCACGCATATATAAAAAAAGCAATGAATAATACGGTTAGAATTTTCATTTCAATGGTGGCAGTAAATAAGGAAGGTCAAAGCATTCATCTTAGGAATTAGAAGATCATAATATTTCCATCGACCATTTGGTACTTGAAACTTTGTTGACCAATCCTTGGTTTCTTCTCGTCAGTGTGGTCTACACAATTAATTCTACGTCGATGGAAGTGGGGCTTTGGGTTTGCTAGTGAGTTTAAATCCTTTCCTTACCATTTGAAACTACCATTCAGAGAAGAAGCTCACATAGTGAAGACTGGTTGATAGAGGTATCTATCCTTGCCCACAGGATGATCTTGATACTTGATAGTAATGAAGATGTGTAAATAGAAAATATGCTGAGAGATTTCAGTTTCCAAATTTCCTTTTCATGGTAAGTAACTTACTATTAGATGAACATTGTTGTAGTACTTAGTTAATGTTATTGTCAGAGAAACCTACAAAACGAGGAAGCAGCTGTTAGTGCTAGTCATCGTGGTTTTTTCAATGTATTGTTGAACACTGCTTTGGAGTGCTTTCTAAATCTGTGGCTTGGGAGTTAGGAGGATGATTAGGGACAGCGACGTGAGAGGCTGCAATTTTTCTAAGCAGAGATTAAGACGTAGCCTTTCTGCTGCAGATTGAGACTCGCTTTGATATTTTATTTATCAGTTACAGTACTTAACAGTGCTTGATGTAATAATTCCTTTGCAAATATCTTCATGTCAATTGGTGATGAAAGAGATGATCAGAGCTTTTATTGGATGCTGGTTCTTATGCCAGCCTAAATATCATCTGGTGTCATCACTTGGACTAATTAATCCCAGGAAGAAGGTGTGACAATCAGATGCAAAAAATGTCAAGACAAATGTTGGATTTTTCTTGTGGAAACAACCCAGACTTTCACTTCTGATGATAATAATGCAGCAGCAGCATCAGCTGATAGGACCCAGCTCAATTACAGTAGTACTGGAAACTGTAAAACTCAATTATCTTCACAAGCAATATTGAAATATTCTGGGAAAATAGTAGAGAATAGGTGAAAAGAAAAGATGAGAAAATATCTCCACCGCTGAAAAAGGACTTGTTCCACATTGCCTGCCATTGCTTTTGATGAAGGCAGCACCTGTACCTCCCATCCTGTTGAGGATGACCACTCTGATGGTGCTGAGAAAGAAGACAATGGATGATATAGTTTACGGGGTTCAAGAATGTGAAATTTGATGCTGACATTACCGGCAAATCGCATGGCCATGTAGGCCATAGCCAGCTAGTTGTTGGTTGTATCTTTTTGGTGCACTGAAGTTAGTCCATCAATGGGGTACGAATTTATTCTGGCAAAAATCTGTTGTTCGCGTTAGATACGTCCACAGGCTTATATATATGTACAGTTGGTTGCCAGTAGTTTTTGGGTGGAAATATTTGTTTGATTCAAAATTTATTTGCTTCTTTTGGTATGTACGTTGATGAGATATTCTTCTATATATCTAGCTTAAAAACAAAAAAAAAAAAAAAGAAAGCCTCGAAGAGTTGTAACCGTATAGAGTTAAATTAGCAAACCGAATTATGCAACTTACTTGATTTGAACTTGATCAAATGTATCAGCATATACTAAAACTAGACTCAGATTACTACTCGATTATCCTTAAACTTGATAATATCAGATTACTAAGTAACTTTATCGAGAGTTATTTGAGTCGTTTTACACCTCTATCTATGACATGAACAGCACTACAATTGAATCAATTGATAAGATGGACATATGCACATGGTCCGAAGATTGCAGAAAGGTCCAAAGGCAGTAAGGGAAGGATGATAAGACAAGGACATGAAAAGACACACTTGCACTGAAAATTTTAGTGGACCGAATTGTAAAAATATCTTCTTAATTAATCAATTTGGCAGATATCAGCACTTCCATGTGCAACTTGAAGACAAAATATTATATTAAAAGGGCTGTTGAATACTGATAAAAGCGAAACGCCTTCAATCCTCGAAAATTTTGGTTTTGAGGAGTTGACAACGCTGATGTAAAAATGTATCAAGACTGAATCATTTGATAAAGACCTTAACGGCAGGACGATGGGGCATTCACTATTTAGGCTATGGTTAACAACTTTGTTTTAGCATTTTGAATCGTTACTCTATCCCTGCGAGTTGCAGTTCCGGAAGGTAGTGTTTGGAGCAATGTCAACCTTTTCAACAAATGGGATTTCATATGGTTGTCCCGAACCGAAAGCCAGGTCCATTTCATCTTGTTGCTTTCACAATGGGGTTGGGCTCAGTGTCACTTGTAAGGCTCATCCTCTAGGGCATTTATTCTATAAGCAATCTTCTCTTTAAAGAAGAAATTCTGCTACCAAGTAGATTGATATTTTTGGCCACAGATTGAATGATCTTAATAACTCCTAGGATGGTATGATCGGCTGGGTTATTTTCCTGCAAGTTCATCCTCCCATGTCCTTGATCACCAGCTTCCTTCTCATGCACAATAATGAGAAAAATAGATGTGCTATTTGTGGAAAAGGGAAACATGGACTGGAAGAGTTGTCCTGATGATTTTGCTGAGCTTTATTATGAAGTATGACATCTCACTATGTTCAACATACAAATACATAACCACATATCACTTGAACTATAGAAGTAGTATGTGATTTTAAATGTGGGTATGACATGAAATGAAACTGCTCTGGTTTCCCAGATTCCATCAACTCTATATCAAGTAGCAATGTAGAATGAGGAATGAACACAAATCAACGAAATCCTTTTATATATGATGATGAATTTCCAACTACATTGTTCATAATTCTGACAAACCTTCAACAAATGAAATGACTGCTATAAAGAATTTCATGATACATAAAGAATCAAAGAATAAACACCAAATTAATTTACTCCAATACTACAGACTGATATCTAAAGAGCTGACTCGGTATGAAGCTACTGTATTCATTAAAATGGTTCCGGCACTAGACTGACCAATCTTATCTGCAACAAAGAATGAAAGAATAATGACAGATTTCTCTACCTACAAAGAATTCTGTGTCCCTTTCTGTATGCAAGAATGGAATCAAATGAGATGGTATGTATGAAGAAAAAGTAAATCTGCAACAATCAGCTTGGCTGAGAAAACGAGGATGAGCTGCCTGCAACATCAACCGGTGTCCAAGCTGAGACTGAATAAAGTGGCTGATCTAACCAACTTAGAGTAAGCGCCACACCATCCTGCCCTTGCTTCTTGACACTGTAGTTCTCACAAGAGTACATCTTCAACAGCATTTGGCTCTGAAGCAGTTCCCTCTCACTAACCCCCATGCATCTGAAACCTCCTTGCTCCATCAACTTCCTCCACTTCTCAAAACTCTCATGCCTTTCAAACCTGTCGCTTCCTTCGCAAGCAATTATATTCCTGATTTCCCGTGCAAACATTTCCTCTATTTTGTTCCTAATCGGGCTTTCCAAGGAAAGGCTAGAATCCATTGAGTCAAATATGGCAGAGTAGTATCTCAATGAATTGGTAACTCTTGCATCTAAGCTGAGGACATTATGCTCAGCTTCTTGCTCTGCCATGACGACTACTGCAGGATTTGTGCTACGAAGAAGTCCCAAAAAGTCCCTGAGTGCTCCTCCATTTCCATCATAAAGTGTCTTGTGCAGTTGAAACACACAATTCACAGCTACACTCTCTTTCTCCTTCACGTGAAGCATCCACAACCTCACATCTTCTAACCTGTCCACAACTGGATGGAACTCGAAAGGCAAATTCAATGCCTCAGCAAATCCTGCAAGCCTGTCTCCTGTTTCATTCAGTTCTTGCTTGGACTCACCAATTCCAGTAACTCTAACATGGCTTGGAGGATTAGTCCTTGAAGCTAAACTCTGGAACAAACTAGGCCACTGTAGCCCTTGCTTGATGTCGAAATCTATGATGTGAACCCTGTCTTTCCCCTCGAAGGCTCTCAACAGTATCTCATTGGATGTGAAATGGACAAATTTTGGAATTGGGCTTACCTGATTCAAGAGCCTCAATGCAGTACCAGTGTCATCATCCACCCGATCAAGCTCTCGAGGAGTTGTGATATGAAAAATATGAGGCCAAAGCCTTGTGACTCGAAGAGCCAAAGCTTCAGCATAGTAAGCAGTTAAACGGCTTATAGCACTTCCTCTTGGAGAAGCAAGATCCCCCAACTTAGCTATAAAATGGTTGATGGCAGCAATGTTCTTTGATCCAATTGCTTCAACACAAGCTGTCAGTAATTGGACAAGCTCAAAACCCTGATGCTCCCCATGGTTGTTCTCCTCCTCGTTAGCCCCCAAACGAGCACCGTCGTGCGGGTAAGGATTCCCAGAACCATTACCCACTTCTTGTTCTGTGGCTTGCTCATTTAACCGAAGTCCCAAGCTATGACTCTCTGAAGAAGTGCTCGATCCTGAAGTTTCGTTTGCCGGCCTGTGGATTGTCTCAACATCCTTTTCCCCGACGTCAGTGATCTCAGTTATTACTGATTCGATCCAAGGATTGTTAGACAATGGCAAAGGTGGAGAAATCACTTCACCAGGAACAAAACACACCCTTTCTTCATCCCCTGAACAAGTCAGAGAGAAAGGAACTTGAGGAGCATTCTGTCCTGTGAAACTTGGTTGAAACCAAAAATTTCCTGCACCTAGCTGGCCTAAACTCAAATTATCACCACCACCTTCATGAAAATCACCAGAATCCTCATTATCACTGCTACCCTTTTTCCTTTTTGCCCTGTTAATGACTGACTCATCAACTAAACCCTGCTCAGCAAACCTCTTCAAACTTTTACCTTTCTCCCAAAACTCATCCTTGATCTCTCTCCTTCCTTCAAATGGATTTTGTGAACTAGTAGTCAATGGCGGCAGCCGGATATTCTGCTTCAGAGAACAACCGGTGGTCTTGGATTCAATTGGTTTCTCCACAGAAAGGCCAACAGGCCTAATCGGCTGTGACCTTGAAGTGTCCTTACGAGAGAAACTGCATGGCAAGTCCAATCTCTGTGTGCTCATTGAAGTCTGGAAATGGCAAGCTTGAAACTGTGCAGATGCTTCACTCCTCAATCTATGCCTTGGTGACAGCAATGTAGAACTAGAACACCCAGCCAACATTTCTCTACAACCTTCCTATTTTCTTTCTTTTGTTTCTTTTTCAGTTCAATTCCAATTCACCCACCCCCAGTTCTTTTTCTCTGTTTCTTTCCCTATCTCTCTTTGTTTCTATAAGTTTTGAAACTATGCAGTGTATATTTTTTTCTCTTTTTTATGTATAAAATCCTATGTGTTCATATGAAACTTTGCATGTATACTTGGAAAAACCAAATCTAGAGAGATAGACAAATTCTACGTGAGTGTGTGAGTTTTCAAGAAACCAAAAGAAATGAGATAAAAAGGAATCCGATGAAAAATACAGAAACAAATAAAAGAATATTGAAATCAAACCTTTTTTTCTTTCAAAGTGTTCCTATATGAACAATGTGTGTGTATGCAAAAAAGAATTGACAGAATATGCAAAATAAATGAATTAAAAAACATTAACCCACCCCAGAAAGAATCAAAGAATTGTTAAGAACTAAACTAAAATTAACATCTACCAGAAAACAATCATCGGATTCCCAAACATTCACAAACAACTCATTCCAAAAGGCTACAATCAACAGTGTAATAAACATCAATATTGAAGACAAAAACACATATTTTCTCAAACCTGTACTTCAAATCGTGAAAAACTTTGACATCCTCAGATTTTGAGGTTTGCAACGACTCCATGGTAGCTGAAACTGAACCCAGACTCAAAAATCCCGGCTTTGGAAACCAACTAAACATGCATGAAAACAAACTGAAAAACGATCAACCAACAATGAAACATCTCTCAATTCTCACTAACCAAAAAAACCATAAACCAGAAAAGGGTTGTGCTTTTATATACTTCTATATAATACTAGTAAAGCTAAAGCTTTTGCTATTTTTCATGGTTCATGTTCTTCCTTAAACTCTTTCTACTACTGCTACTACTATAGTATACTACTCTACACTTGACTAACTACCACTTTCACCTTCACGTCTCTATCATTGCTTTCCTTTTCTTTTTTCCTTTTTCTTTTTTTGGTTCCTGGGATTCATTTGAAAAGAAAAAATACGATGGCAGAGGTTGAAAAGGGATAGTTCGAGAAGACTAAGGAAGTTTCGTTTTTCTTTAGCCGTTGGATTTTGAGATCTGACGATGGAGAATAATAGCCTTAGTGACCGTTGGAGTGTTGTCGGTAAAATATGACCGTTAGAGGAGAGGGAGTTGGTGTACGGAACTCCGTGAATTTTTGGGGGAACACTTCTTTTTCACTAAATTTTATTTTTTTTAAAAGAAAAAAAAAACTCTTCTGGAGAGAGTGCCGGTGTTCACGTGGTGTGCACGTGCTTGTCCCCCTGATGCCCGTTCACTCGACCGTTGGGTCACAGCACAATTATTTTTCCTTCCCCCCCACCACCTCCTTTTTCCACTTTTTGTTTTGTCCTCTTACGAAACATTAGCATCCTCTAACTTCCTTAACCAGTCAATATTAATATAATTGAAAACACGTGGCACACTGTCAGGCTGAGCTGCTGTAAGAGGGTTTGATCCTAGTTTACTTTATTAAGTTAAATTTGACTGCCTTTTGTTGGTCAGGATTGGTGGGCTTTTGTCTATCATTTCACCAATAACATTCTGCCACGCTGGACTGAGGTAGGGACATTCTGGTCAATTTGCTAAGGCAGGTGAGGCTGACAGAGGTCGGGTTTGGGACCTTTATTTTTTACGTTTGTCTGCTAAAGACCCACAAAAACCTGAATGATCTGGGAAATTAGAGACAGGTGCGAATAAAAACTGTTAAAGTAAATGTGAATCACAGCCAGGTAAATCACCCGGTAGAGAGAAGGAAAAGGGTAAAGGTGAAGAACTGATCTACAACGAAAGGTAAAAAAATGATAATATATGCCTAGACACAAAAGTAAATTCTGCACCCACATGGTAGTTAAGGTTTTTTTCAACGGTTGAACTAGAAATGAATTATTTTTTGTTGCCAAGGAATGATACCCTAGGGTCATTGTCATTATATCAAGGCTCCCACAAAATTTCTTGGACTTATAGAAAAAGGACGGCATCCAGCTTCCACAATGGGTTTTCACTCTTCAGGCCCGATTAATGACTATATTGCAGTACAAATTTGCTACGTCCATTGCATCTGAAGGAGAGCGAAAAATGCAAGATCCAGGTATTATTTCTTCGCAATCTATTATCTAATATAACAGATTGGATTATTCATTTACACTAGTATAAAACTGTTGAGGAATGATAACTAAACAAAAAGGCATTTTTCCAGGTAAGTCAGGTTAATAAGTTTCTGAAGCAATGAGGGGTAATTTCCACCCTATAGCTGTGGAAAGAGGGGAGGATGGGGAGAAATTTACTTCTCACATCCAAAGCACAGGTCAGGACAATGTTGTCCAACTAGCAGAGAAGTGATAAAACGCAGAAACACAACACATGATTTAATCTGGTGTCATGAGAAGTAATCTGACCTTTTTAATATAGTAAATCACTACATATATACAAAACATGCCCTTTCAATCAATTGAACACCACCAACGAAAGCAAACACTGACCATGGTCAGTCAGATTAATTGTATCCTCTCCTGAAATTTCATGTATTTCAACCGAACAGAAAACCTTAAGAACTTCCACAACTTCATGCATTTCTTCATTTTTCCATGCACTAAAAATTTTCAGAGTAATTTTCTACAATATTCGTGTAGGAGTTAAATGCTACTAGATCAACTCCAGAAATAGGGCTTCTTGTTTGCTAGTTAAGCCAAGTTCATTAAATGTCAAACTGCTCTCTCCATCACCGAAAGCACGCCTTGGGTATGGCCTCACCTGTAAAAGTGATAAAATTAACATAGCACATATTCCTTGCAGGAAGGCTAGTGAATATTTTTCTCGAATAGTGAAAAATAAATCATGTATCTATCTAAAATGTTAGGAAGCCAATACCAATATGGGACTAGGCAAAAAGCTTAAGAGATGAAAAATTTTACCAATCTATAAGTGCCTGGCTTGACTCCTCTACCAATATCTATGAAGTCATACAGAGACTGCAAAGCAAATCCAAATCAGGTCGAGTATTAAGCATGCACAAGGAAAAGCTAAAGAAGTAAACAGTTCTTCTCAAATTTACCTGCAGCCTGTCAGACTTGACAAAGCGACGGCCCCTGCGACTGCCATCTGGCATTCGCACTAGAAGAGTTACAGCATTTTCCTCATCTGCTGCTGGCTCCTGAGGCAGAGAAGCTTCTTTAGCAGCTAATTGTCTCTCACATTCCTGCCAGTAAGAAATGATGCAATCCAGAACCAATAAAACTAGTTATCTAGAGTGAGTGAAATTCTACTCACAAAGCTTAAATGAAGTAGTCAAGCATGATTTTATGTTGATAACATAGCAAAGCAACAAAACGTATAAATAATTCTCTTTCTAGTAGAGAGAAACCTAAATTGTCTGAAAGAGAAGATGAAATTTGTATCATCTCCAGTAACATGCCCACGGAATGAACTGATGACAACGACAACAATAGTTGTTCGAGATTTACACAAGTTTGTTTTGCTTCCAGTAGAAATTTACTGGTAAAATTTAATCAACACATATAAGCTTAAATGCAAACATCTAATAATAAATTACTCTTCACTTATTGCGAGGATCTCATCCTTATCTCAGAAAATCAAGATATAAGACAAAATAAATCATTTTCCCCAATAAATGGACTGACCCTGTTGCCAGCTAAGATTACCAATGATTGAACAATAACTAATAAAAGTACCTGTTCCTCCTCCATTTTCCTGTGAAACTCTTCCTCTCTTCGTTGTTCTTCTTCAAGAGCAGCTTTTCTAGCTGCTTCCTCCTCTAAACGGCGAGCTTCAGCTTCTTGAATTGCCTTCAACTCTTTTTCTCTATCAGCTTGCAACGATGCATTATACTCATCATCCTGAATGCATGTAAGCAGGCAACTGTTAGACCATTACTTGTGGCCCAAAATTGGAAACCTACGTGTATCAGTCAGAGCACAAAAAAAACTAACTTGCTGTTCCCGTATCCAGCGTTGTGCTGCCAACGAGGGTGATGGAGGACGAGGGGTACGCCAGGGATAGGAGCCCTCGGGTCGCATGAACTGATGAGGTGCATATGCATAACGGTATCCACTTTCAGGGATTCCACCAAACATTGCAGCCTCAAGCATGACTGCCTCATCATGCTCCTCAGAAGAGATGCCTCCCCACTACAATTTATTGGAGAGCACAAACCAAAATTTATTTTAGTAAAGAGCATAGGCAAAGGGCATTAGTTAGAACAGAAAGTCCTGAGTAAATATATGGAATAGAATATAAATTTAAGTTTCTTATTAGGCATCAGCAGATACTATGCATGGATTCAACCTCATCAGAAGGGAAGGCATTCCCATTGTTCGGTGGGTGATTGCCTATGCCTTGCTGTCCAGGACTTGATGGTGGGCTAGCCTCAACAACTCCAACTTCTTTTGCAGAGTCCCCCAAGCCAGATGACGTCTGCCTGGATTCATGCGTAACTAGAGGCTGTTCCTCCACATCTTCAGCTTCATCTTGTATGGACGAGCTTCCTTCACCCAACCTACATTGACTCAACTCAGTACAGCCATAAAATGAAGAAAAAAGACAAATCTTACAGGTTCATAATCAGAACACAATAACCCACTGCTTAACGCTTAACCAGTGAAAACAAGATGTACCTCCCATTCGAGACTGCCATGTTCTCCGGATGAACCTCAGCTGCTTTAGAAGCTTCCACATCAGATGCTCCAACAGACCAACCCTGTTCACGCAATGCCTTCTCTTGCTCCGCTGTCTGAATTTGTGAATGTTAAATACAATGAAGAGATAAATAGGAAAAGATAAACTGAACAAACTAGAGCACAACAAACCTTCAAGGACAACGAAACAGCTTTTGCAAGTTCAGCATCCTCTAAATGAGACTGGTTACGCCGAGGACCAGGATCACTTAACTCCTGCATAAGCATGAAAAGTAGATCTGTAAGGCAAACATTTACACCAACTACAAGAAGGCAGTTCACCAAAACAGAATCAAACCGGAAGCACCTGTTTATAAAACTTACCTCAACATCCCGTTTGGAAGCCTCAATGGCAGCTTGAATCATTTCTTCTTCAATGTCATTGCCATAGTCAGGCAAATTAACAAAGGCAGGAGCACTGGGTGTAACATGTTGGTCATAAGAGTTATCATTCTCCCGTCTTGGCTGCACAGTTGAGCCCTCATCCATTTCATTACTTATAACAGTCTCATAGGCATTTGGGCCATGTGCTTGTGCAGTTTCCGAGATATCCTCAATGGCAGGAGCATCACCAGAACGACCAGATGGCTCGTTGCTATCCTTAACCTCTATCGGTATCTCTCTCACCTCCCTTGGAGGTGTAATCAATGGTTCACGAGTTGAAAAATCCGAAGTACCATCAAGGAAACTTCTTCGAAAGTTTGGATCAAGAAGTGAGAACTGATTCATTGGTCTATATGCTGGGAGAGATGGTAGGACTGGCCTATTCGGTACAACATCAATTGGATCATCTATATCCATGGCATCATCTACGGGAACTACAGGTGATGTTTGCTGCGTGCTGAAAACAGGAAAAAAATTGAAATAAATAAAGCTATGTACAGAAAATTACTAATCATAAAAAAAGAATTGCACAGTTCACGAACGTGTTTCTATCTCCTTCGCTGAAATGTGCATTTACAGCTGCATTGAGGTCACCACCATGCTCCTGATTGCAAGCAAAACAATTAACAGATAAGTGATAGATGTACATATCTAACTTCATTTTAAGAACGGATGCAAAGAATCCAAAATAGCTCAAAGAAAATGCAACCCAACAAGAAGTTAAGTTGGTCATGATGAGTGGCATTTTCCAACAATCTCATCATCAAGCAATTGTCTGCAGATAAACATACAAAAAAACCTTAGCAAATGACAAAAATTAAGTGATGCCTAAGAACCTCAGCATCTGCTAGTTTGAATTAAATCTCAATTCAACCACCGCTAGAAATGAGGGGTGG